TAGCCAGTAAGAGGGAGTAGAGAATGACCAATCTCGGCTAAAACAACTCAGGGCCGTTCCGATGATCTTACCCATAATTTCAGAGCCCTCACTTCTCAGCGAGTTCCTAGATTGGCATCCCTAAGAGATCATCTGATCAACCTCAGGCTTTAAATGTTTCTTTCTTTTTTTTTATTGTGAAAATACTGTACAGAGGGGTTACAATTACATGGGCCAGATAATGAGTACATTAAATGTTTCTTGTAGCCAAAAGGGGGTGGGAAGAGGCCACTGGACTCAGGCTTGCTTCCACAAAGGGGCTGAAAGGCTGTGGGTACTAACTCTATCAAATAAAGTCATCCACAGGGCCACTGAGACTCTGACAGGGTTGAGGAAGATATCCAGCACCAATTTAAATCTGAATCTGTCTCTGAGTCACCATGCCTAGAGGCATGGTAACTTGATGCTATTTTAAAGTCCTGTAATTACCCTATAAACAGCACAGATTGCCGTGTACATTTATGTGCTGGCCACACGATTTATTACACATAAACGTTTATAAGTTACCACTACTTTCCCCTATTCTGATCTTTCTTCATCTACATCAGGAAAACCAACAGCCCCTGGGGTCATACCCCCAAGGGGCTCTCCTTATATCTCTAACTTTAGAGCTAGTTTCTCCATCATTGTTTTGAGCCCAGAAAGGTCTCTCTCCATAAGGAAGCAAAATGCTGTCTCACTGAAGCCTTGAGGCAGATCCATCTTTATGGCAGCAAGGAGCGGGTATGTACCCTCTGGCCGGTCCTTCCCTTCTCTCCCTCCCCTACAGGACAGAAAGGAGGCAAAGATATTCTAGGAGGGTGTCCCACCTGCTGCCAAGGCAAGCACGGGAAGGTAGATGTGTTCCCGTATAAATACATGTTTCTAGGCATCAGGCAGACTTCAGCACTAAATTCTCATTCAGACTGTTTAGGGTGGAGGTGGTCACTACCAAAAGTGACCATATCATGCATAATATTAGCCCTCTGGAACCTCTGCCCCCCACCTCCACAAAGGCAGCTGGATATCTCTGGATATCTCTGGCATATTCCTGCCATCCAGCAGCCAGAAAACCTCCCTGGTGATACTGGATTTATCACTTGCCTACATCTTACCTTCTGTGTTCTAGGAACAGGATTTTCCCTACATGTGCTCCTGGGCTTGGAAGGATTTCAGGGGTAGGAGAAACTTGGATCTCTTGTAGCAAGGAGAAGGTGCTCCTAGGAGGAGCACCAGCCAACCTGAGAGCCAGCTCCATCCTCCTGGATTGCCTGGAAGAAACCTAAGCCCCACCCACATGCTTGTATAGAAAGGCACTGGCGACCGGGGAAGAGCTGTTATGTGCACTGCCTAAGAGACAAGGTAGAGACAAGGCTCAGATGCCTGCCGAGTCAGGTGAGTCAGGTTCAGGCAGAAGAGGAAAACAATGGTAAGAGAAGTGCAGAGCCACTACTTGCTCCTAAGGGACGTGTGTGGACATCTGTAAAGGTATCCTCTCTGGGCAGGAAGGTATAGCCAACATCAGGGCGCAAGGCTGGGAGCGTGGCCGAGAGAGTAGATTTTTTTTTTACCTCCCACTTTTCCTTTTGCCAGATGTCCTTATACAGCGAACCACCAGAACAAATGTAAGTGACAGCCCTGCTCAGAACAGCAGCACCACGAGACAAAAAGGCCATGGCCATTTACATCCCACAACTGTCCTTCCACTCTTCCAAGTGGCCTCCACAGATGCTCCATCCCAATGCTTTCCCGGCCTAGTTCAATTCATACCCCATCTATCTTGTGAGCCTTCTGAAGTCTCCCTTTGCCAAGAAGCAATCTCTGACCACCCCTTTAGGAGAAGCACACTTCTCTGGCCCACTGACTAGCCATCTTTCTATAGCTATGCCTATCTTCCCTCAAGACTATATGCCTGCATGGCACTTATTAGAGCACTTGGCCCAATATAAAGGAGGTGCTCAAAGCGCAATTGCTGATTGACTGGGATGGTACACCATGGAATGGGCCAAAAGGGCCCCTCTGTCTGGCCCTAATTGGGTTACCATCAATCCCTGGGATTGCCTGGGAAAAAGACCTCTCTGTCTCCCGCCACAGTTTCTCATGTAACAGGCATGGCGGCTGGATAGAAATCTCCATGGATTCTACGGGCACTGAGCCCCACCTTTCAGGAACCCAAGTCCAGGACTACCACCAGTGTTCTGTCACCCACAGTGCCTGGTCCAGAGCAAGCTGTCCACCTGGCCTCTGAATTACTTCAAAATAAAACAAGCCTAAGTCTCTTTGCTTTGGCAACTTGAGCATTTAACTTGGTGTTTTATTTGCCAAACCACAGACACTGAATCCAGCCAACTCAAGCAGAAAAGCCCTATTAGGGAAAGGTCTGTCCTGGGAGTTCACCCACAATCAGTGGGACAATTGGAGAACCAGGCTCAGACAAAAGGCTGAGGGGAGAAACAGAACTACAGCTGAGGGAAGGCCCTGGGCAGAGTCTGGTCAGGACACACAGAGGCCCCTGGACACCTCTTCCACCACCGCTCACTGGATCTTCCAGGTTTCTACTTTAACACCAGTGAACTTGCCAAGGGATGGGGTCTGCTTGCATGCAAACTCCTCATTAGTAAGGCTCTTTAGGAGGTAGGTAGCCAAATGTCCATAAATGACCTTGGCCAAGCCAATTCTTTCCTTCAAGAATTTGGAAAGGGGACAACAGTGGATTGAGTAGTACTTTCTCCCTCTTCCCCCCCCCCCCAAATCTGCCAATCAAATCCCAGAATATGAGCTTATTTTGAATAAGGATCTGTGCAGATCCTTGTGTTATAATCTACCCAAGAATCTGAAATCACCCTGCATTAGGCTGTGTCCTAAATCCAGTAAGTCTCCTGGAAAAGAGACCAGACACAGAAAGGAAGGCGGTGTGGAGACAGGAGGCAGACACTGAGATGATGCAGTCCTGATGGAATGGCTTCCAGTGACTACCAGAAACCAGGGAAGAAACACGGAATAGACGTCCCTTCTGAGCCTCCGAAAAGGAGGCAACTCTGCTCACACCGATTCCAGACTTCTGGCCTTTAAAGTGTGGGAGAATAAACATCTTTTTCTTTGTGTTTTTTTTAAACAACCCACTTTGTGGAATTTTGTTAGGACCGCCCAAAGAAACAAATACAGGGCTCAGAAATGTCAAAAGGTCAGGCTGGGTGGCATGTATGGAGGCCGTGAGAAAACTGAAACAGTAAGGAAAAACAGGCCAGAGGCACAGTAAGGACTCCTGGGCTTCTGATGGCACCCACTCCAGCTGTAGGCTCCTGAGATGTTCCAGATGTTCAGCCTAAGCCTTTCCCTTTCCTGCACAATTTGGTTTCAGTGGCTGTGATATCTCACCTCAAGCTTGTATGTGTGAGGCAGGGCGAGCCAGTCAACACAGGGGACTGCTGCCTCCACACAGAAAAGGGGTAATGCCCCAATTAGAAATCCAATTCGAAAATGCCCTTTAAGAGTCAGCAATCCAGGCTCAGGGCATGAGGCCACACTCAGTCATCACGGATAAGGGGGCTGGGGGCTTGGCCAAAAAGTGTTTGTTTTGTTTGTGACATTCCTATCCCATAATCTATAATTGTTTCTTAATGACTAGTTTCTCCTAAGGGGGGGCTGGAGGGGCTCTACTGCTGTCTGATGACCAGAGGGCGTTAACTTCTGACCTGCAGAGCGAAGACCTGTCAGATAGGTGAGTTTATAACCCCGAAGGTAGAAGGGGCTGGGGAGAGGGGTTCCGCTTGGAGAGAGGAACCCAGGGAGCCCCTTGATGGCTGGCACTGACCGGGCAGCAGACGCTGCACAAAGGAACTCTCCTGGGAACGGAGGGAGGACGGTCTAAGGGGAATCTCACACTTGTGATACTTTCTAAGCCTTGGAGCGGTGGAGGAAGGGGAAGAGAAGAGAACCTGAAAGCCAAGACCCAACCCAGGCCTAGAAATCACCGCTTCTTCAGTTTGGGCTTTGCTCTCGTCCCCCCCCCCCCCCCATCTTAGGTAAAAAGTCAACAGATTTCTTTCCCGTCCCTTGAACCCTGGCGGAGCAGGGGCGAGCCTGGTAGCACGGCTGTCCCGGGGGCTGTGCATTCCCATCACTCATTAGGCGCTGTTAAAAAAAGATAAAGGAGTTTCAACAGAAGAAAAAAGAAAAAGGAAAGGCCGGCCCAGGGGCCCGCACACATCATCCGATGTCATCGTTCTACGACTGAGGTTAAGTGAGGCTGAGAGGTGAAATCACTTCTTCCCCCCCCTCCTCGCCCCCCCCCCCCATTCACCTGCTACTCAGCAGCTGGGCTCCAGGTTTCCCTGCAACTCCCAGCGCGACGCGGCGGTGCGGCTCACACTTCCCGCCGCCCCGCCCGGCGACGCCGGCGCTCGGGGGAGGGGGGGGGCTCCCGGGAGGAGCGTGCCTCGGCCCGCTAATCGCCCCCCTCGCCCGGGGTCTCCCCCGCCGGGAGGCGCGCCAGCCCGGCGCGGAGCCTCCGCCCGGCTCGCCCATTGGCCGGCGGTAATTACGGGCACGCTCCGGGACCGCATACATTATGCAAATGCCCGGTCCCCGCACGGGGCTGACCTGCCGCCGCGCTCCATTCACCGGGCCGCCTCGGGGGCGGAGGTGGCCGGGGAGGGAGGGGGGGCGCGCCCATTGTCGCGCCGGGTACTTAAGGGGGTCCTGAGGCCGGTCGTGTGCCACTCCCGGTGCTCACACGAGCTGATCGGATCGCCGGCGACGTCACTCGGGAGACCAGCCCGGGGCGCGTGGCCTCCGCGGGCGAGGCCAGGAGGAGGAGGCGGAGGCGGAGACGAGGTGGCCCCGGCGTCCCCGCGCCCGCGGCGGGCGGTAAGTGTGCCCCCGACGGCCGTGCGCTCGGCGCGGCTGTGCCCTCTCCGCCTCTCCCCGCCAGTCCGTCCGTCCGTCGGTCCGCGCGTCGTTCCTGAGCAGCGCGCACAGCGATGCCCGCCCCTCCGGAGGCCGGCCTCTCCGATCTCGCCTCGGGGCCGTCGGGGGCGGCCCGCCGGGGGGCGCTGGGGGCGGAGCCGGAGCCGCCGGCGCCTCCGCAGCAGCCGCAGCCGCGGCGGCGGCGCCGGGGCCGGGCGCGCGTGCGGCCCGAGGCGCTGCTGCACTCGCTGCGCCGCAGCCGCCGCGTCAAGGCCAACGACCGCGAGCGCAACCGCATGCACAACCTGAACGCGGCGCTGGACGCGCTGCGCAGCGTGCTGCCCTCCTTCCCCGACGACACCAAGCTCACCAAGATCGAGACGCTCCGCTTCGCCTACAACTACATCTGGGCCCTGGCGGAGACGCTGCGCCTGGCCGACCAAGGGCTGCCCGGGGGCGCGGCCCGGGAGCGCCTCCTGCCTCCGTGCGCCCCCTGCGCGCCCGGACCCCCGAGTCCCGCCAGCGACGCCGAGTCCTGGGGCTCCGGGGCCGCCGCCTCGCCCTGCGCGGCCGCCGCCTCGCCCATCTCGGACCCCAGCAGCCCTGCCTCCGAAGACTTCGCCGGCTACGGCCCCAGCGACCCCCTGTTCTCCTTCCCCGGCCTGCCCAAAGACCTGCTCCACGCGACGCCTTGTTACCTCCCTTACCACTAGGCCCTTTGTACGACCGACCGTTGCTTTCGTGGGGTCGGTGGGTCCTCACCCAGCGGGGCCAGGTGGAGGGAGGAGGAGGAGGGCAGCGGGCGGGGGGGGGGGGATACCTGAGCCTCTTGTTAGGTCGCTGCACCCTCGCCACGGCAGCCCCCCCCCACGTCGGTCTGTTTCTCCTGACCCCCCTCCCCTCCTGCCCGCCCCCAGACGGCCTTTCCTTTTTGCACTTTCTGAACTCCACAAAACCTCCTTTGTGGCTGGCTGCGAGCTGACCCCAGTCGCCACGTGAAGTGTGATTTGGAGAAGGGACAGATGAGCCCCCTGAAGACGAGGTGAAAAGTCAATTTTACAATTTGTAGAACTCTAATGAAGAAAAACGAGCATGAAAATTCGGTTTGAGCCGGCTGACAATACAATGAAAAGGCTTAAAAAGGAGACACAAGGAGTGGGCTTCATGCATTATGGATTCCCGACCCCCACCACGGCGCAGCTCGCTCTAGGAAGAACCCGGTGCTTGCCTGCTATTCAGCCACCGGGCTGGTGGGTACTTTAATTTATTCAGGATGCTTCATTCATATGAAAATGTATTTTTGTATATAAAGAGTTTATTCTATTATGAGCTGTCAAAGTTTACATTTTCGGGGGGGGGGTACTGCAGATACTTCGTGTAAATAAAACATTTTAAGGAACAAATAAGTCACCAAGTTTCTTGCCTAAGAGAGCGCCTCTCAGACAACCAACCAGTGGTTGGCTCAACCAATCACTACTAGTACAGTGAAACACTATTCCCACCCACCTCCCAACCACCCTGCCCCGATTCACAAGCAAATTAAACATAAATGTGCCTGATTCCCACCACGAAGCAAACACACACAGAGACAATATTTGGGATTTGCCATTTCCTTTCACCTCCTCAGCACAAGAGAGATCTTTCTCGGGGCTCGCTATAAGCCAATTAAGACTTTTTAAGGGAGGAATTAGCCCTGCTTAGGCAGCTACCTGTCGAGGTAGGGCCAGGGAGAGTCTTTCTTTTGTAGGACTCCACGTCAGCTGGCCTTGTGTTTCAAAGAGAGAGGATTAACAAGATCAATACAGTGTGACCACTGGCTAGGCAGTCCCAGTGACAGGTGGGCTAGTCTGGGTGAGCAGAAGGGTGTACTCTTTGGAACAGCCTATTTAGAAGGGGAAATTGATTTGTAAACAATGCCTTTAAACTAGTGTCAATTAAAGCTGAGGTCACCCTAGCTGTGAGGTGTAGGATGGATTATGCCGGTATGGTCTCAGTGAATGGGGTGTGCAGCTGCTATAAATTGTGAGCTAGGGTACCTGCGTGCACATGTACACACACACACACACATACACACACACACACACAGAGTTTCACCCAGTATAAAGTGTTGGGGGAGGAGCACATGCAAAGGAGAATTTGGGTGCTTTGCTTGCTCTAGCCAGTCCTCAGGGGCCATAGCCAAAGCGGTCATTTGCTGCCAGAGAAACCTCAGTGGAGACTCTTCTGAAGAGAGACAGACAGAGACAGAGAGACAGAGAGACAGAGACAGACAGAGACAGGGACACAGAGAGACAGAATTGTCCAACAGCTTAGCAGCACCAGTGAGTAGCAACTTTCGTTAAAAATTTCAGAATGGGGATACTTACACAAAGTAGTCCTAAAATGCTGCCCTAGCTTGTTTCCCCACGTTGGTCTTTTCTTTTTTTTTTTTTTAAATCACTGGACTTAAACTCAAGCTTGAGTTCAAGTTGAACTCTGTCCCTGAGCTTTTTGGCTCAAGACTAGAGCTTTACCAACTTTGAACCACAGCTCCACTTCCAGTTTTTAGGTTAAGGTTAATTGGAGTTAGAAGTCTGATAGCTTTTCCTGTCTGGGCTGGTTTTGAACCATGATCCTCAGATTTCAGCCTCCTGAATAGCTAGGATTACAGGGGTGAGCCACTAGCATTCAGTTTGGACTTCACATTATTATTATTATTATTATTATTATTATTATTATTATTAAATATCACTAGCCCAAGAGGCAGATGGGACTAAGTTCAGGAAGAGAGTGTCCTGTGGTATTAGAGAAAGTGGGAAGATGAATAGAAGCAGGTCAGAGCAAGGCCAATGGCACATGTCCACCTTGTTCCCTCCTTAGCCACTCTGACCTGGTGACTTGGAGCACAGGTACACAGGCTGCATTTGCAGCAGGCATTGCCAAGCCTGGGCATTGGGCACGGGCAAGGTGCCCATGCAGATAGACGACACTGTACAAACTTTGGGGAAACTGAATGCCTTCCCTAATTGCCCCCACATCAGAGACCACGGAAAACTTCAGAAGTTGCAGAGGCTGGGATCAGAGTTGCCCTGGATAAAAAAGCTCCAAGGAAAAAGCTGAAGGTCTACCATGAGTCACCCCAGGAATTGCCTCACTGTCTATATCAGAACTACACCACTCTACTGGCTTTGTGTTTCCTACAGCCAAAGACCCAAGTAACCTGCACCAGAGGTTCTCTGCTCCCCTTGCATAGATACTTGAAAGTGACTCCCACGAGCTTTCTGAGGGACCCAGGCCAGATCTTCAAGAAGAACTCATCCTCTGTGGAGATTCTTCCTAACCATCAGGTTAGGTGCATGGGTCTGAGACAGCAGAAGAGAAGAACAGATTGTGTTTCTCCTTGTCCAGAATCCTTGAGAAAAGCGTCAGCTAATGGCTGAAGTCGGAGCTTTGTCTCCTACAGCTGCGCACAACCAGGACTGAACACAGGAGAAACAACATTACCAAGGGTGAAGAATAGCACACCATAGTCCCAATTTGGTTACCACAATAGGCTCACAAACCCCAAGGTACAGGACCCAGTGCACCTTTCCATAAAGAAAAGTCTTTAACAAGGTCATTAGCAAAGTGGGGGGGGGGGGGGGCGTTTCCACCCCTGCCAGCAAATGCTAATTCTTCCTAGGAAGCAAACATCCACAGGCAGCCTGGGGAGCTCTCAAAAACTGAAGAAAAGAAAGAAGGTGATTTAAAATGCTGATCCCCTGCTCAGGGGCCTCTTTCTTCCTGCAGCAAAGTCTCATTCATCCCCTGGCATCTGCAAAGGCACGGTGGGGGTTACTAGAATATTCTAATCAACAAAGAGCACAGCCCTGTCTGTGGGACAGCCATGTCCCAGTGTCCTTAACCTCATCTCCCTCAACAGTTAGCATGCATTTGAGAAGACTGTTATTCTCTACCTCCATCTCCACTTGGTTTTGTCCTGTCATAAGACACACATTTTTACACAGTTTCCAATCTATTGGGAAATCAGAGAAGGGAGAATTAGGACTAAATCGTAAAAAGAGGATTTTATTCATTTTCTCACTTCTTGGTTTTTTGTTTTTTTTTTTTTTTTGGTCGGTTGTAGGGCTTGAACTCTGGGCCTGGTGCTGTCCCTCAGCTCTTCAGATCAAGGCAAGCACTCTACCACTTGAGCCACAGCACCACTTCAGGTTTTCTGGAGGTTCATTGGAGATAAGAGTCTCACAGACTTTCCTATGGGGCTGGCTTTGAACCGTGATCGTTAGATCTCAGCCTCCTAAGTGGCTAGGATTACAGGCATAAGCCACCAGTACCTGGCTTCTTTCACTTCTTTAACGATTGGTTGCCATGTCCTAGCTGTGTGCTGAACACTTTTCAAGACACTGGAATAAGACAAGATCTTTGCCTAGAAGGGCCTAGTGGGCAAAGACAAAACCAACTTAGGGAAAGAATATGGTAAATGTGGAGGAGAAAACACACAGTGAAATAAAAGAATAGGAATCAAGGTGTGAGAGTGGTGCTATTTTTGAAAAGATAAGTCAGGAAAGGCCTTTTAATAAAATGTCACTTGGGTGAAGACCAAGCTGAAAATAAATGGATGCTATGGTTTCAATATGGGTAGTGGTCTCCAGAGGCTATATGTGAAAAGACCTGATCCCCAAGAGGGTACTACTGGGAAGTATGTGGAGATAGGGCTTTATGTACGGAGCTGGACCACCCCATCAATACCACAATTCAATGCAACCACTCAATCTTGGACTTGAACATCCAGAACCAAATTATGCCTCTCATCACTTCCTAAGTAGCCTGTGTTAGGTATCTGGCTGTGAAATGTGGGAGGGAAATACACCTTCTCTCTTTATAAGAAATGACCAACTTCTGGTATTTGTTTATAGTAATGAAAAATGGGCAATACAGGTTTGGTTCTGAAACTGGCTTTCGCCAACAGAATGTACACACGCGCTACCACACACCCAATTTCACTAGTGCATTTTATCTGTCTCCAATCCTGCTTTCTCCAGAATCTGCTTCTGCAAGAGGGCATCCATGCCCGTCCCCGCTTTCAACTTGAGTCCCCACACGAGAACTGCTTGCTTTAATTCTCATCCAGGAAATGCTCATTGCCCATCCCCACCCTTTCATTTCCTTTCGACTTGGGCCTTAAGAACCCTCTACTGTCTGGCACAGATGGCTCACGCCTGAAATCCTAGCTACTCAGGAGGCTGAAATCTGAGGCCTGCAGTGTGAAGCCAGCTCTCACAAGAAAGTCGGTGAGACTGACTCCCAATTAACCACCAAGAAACCAGAAGTGGAGCTGTGGCTCGAAGAGGTAGAGCACTAGCACAAAAGCTCAGGGACGATGCCCAAGCTCTTGATTTTACCCCGCAGCAGCATTCAAAGAACAAAACAAAAATGAGTCAAGAACTCAAGACAAACTCACCAATGAGGAAAAGAAGCCTGGCACAAAGACATAGAGGGCCCATCACAAGTCAGAGACGGGGTTGGCAGAGCAGCTGGCGGATCCTCCACTCAAGGAGTCACGAAGGAAATGTAAATCCAAACAGCCCCGAGGAAGCGCGGCCTCCGCCATTACGATGGCGAGTGCGGCCCCGGCGCTGCTCCCCCTCTCAGGACTTTCCTGGTGGAGGTTCAAAGCCACTCGGCCCCTCTCCGGCTTCATAAACAACACCCGCTGTACCTTGAGGCGCCACAT